CATGGCATGATGGCATGGCGTGGCATGAATGATGACAGTGGGCGTGTTGGAGATGCTGGCATCTGCATGGAGCGGCATACAAGGCACGGACACGTGGGTCAGAGGCAGGGACTGCGACAGCATGGCTGCAGTTAAATGTGACGTCAATGGCCACGTCATCAGGATGTACGCATCAGTACTGCAGACTTTTTTTCTCCGGAGCCCAAGTTGCGGAAAAGCAACTTTGAAGTTTCTGGCATGCAACTTTTCGTGCCTTAGACTTTCGCGAAGTTGTCAGAGATGGCACACGACAACACTTCGTCGTAGCAATGTGGGCATTTGCCACCATCACCACATGCAGCTCCAGCCTTGGCACTTACTCCCTGTGCTCCAAAGCGATTGTCGACAGAGGCACTACCAATTTCATAAAAGTCTGTCTCCTGTGTGCTCCCCCGCTTGGCAGTGACTCACACGGCAGCAAGATAGCGGCCTCCATCCCAGAAGACATCAGCGGCTTGAAGCACCTGTCGGTCCTGTGAGTGGCTCGGGTGTTATGCCTCGATATGCATGGTCTGGTACTAAGACACTATTCATAACATCTCGCTACCCACTGGGTCCAAACGAGGGTGTTATTCGGTGCAGCGCCAACTCTAGCCCACAGGCGTTGGCTCTCTCAGGGAGTTCCCCCCCTCCCCCTGCAGGAACCTAGATTTCGTTGAGGAGGCAGCGACCTTTTTGGTGGACCAAGCCAGCAGAGGATCGTTTGCTGGGTTCAAGTCTGGTTACCACATTCGGGTTCTTACCTCAGGGAGAAAATGTGGACCAGCCGGGATTTAAACCCTAGGCTCTGATACCAGTATAACACCTTGCTACCTAAAGGGTGAAAATGAGGGTGTTACTTTGCGCAGCGGAATGCCAACTAAATGAGCCCACAGACCCGCAAACGAGTTTCCTCGCTGGGTGCACGCACCCTTGTTTTGACACACTTTGCTCTTGCCCCTCCCCATGGAGTACCTGCCTTCCTCGCTCTACGTTCACAAATTTCCTCTTTATCTTTACGTCGTAGCCACTTTCTGCAGGAGCATGGAGGCCAGTAAGCTTAAGGGCTCCCTGCCTGCTGCTCTCTTTGCGCTGCCCAACCTGAAGCAACTGTGAGCCCCCATGCGCTCTCCACACGCCCTGCCGCTCCAGTTGACCCACCATGTGATGCCATGCACACTGGTGAAGTTCCCCATGCGTTGTGATGCTCGACTTCGTAACGAGCTCTTTTCCTGCCATGTTTACCATGACTTGTTGCTTCTTACACCCACCCTGCCTGCACCACATGCATGGGCGGCACCGCTTTGATGCAAACACACACATATGCATGCATGCTGATACCAATCCATGTGGTGCTCATGTGTAGTGTTCTCGGAGAGAATCAACTATCGGGCAACATTCCGTATACAGTGGGCATTGCGGAGAGCTTGGAAACCCTGTCAGTCCAGTGTGTTTTCTTCCACCACCACATTCGCCACCTTTTCCACATGCTTGCCACTTTTGTTTCCTCAGCTGGTTCGAAATCCTCTCTGTTGCCCAACCACCCAAATGGCGTACATTGAGCCTCTATTATCTTATTTCACGTCACTCTCATTCGTGCCTCCTGTTGCATCATTGTCTCTCTCATGTCGGTAACCCCACCACAGATGCCTATCTGACAACCAGCTTAACGGCACCCTCCCTTCCACTTTGGGAAACCTCTCTGCGCTCGTCAACCTGTGAGCTCCCTCTTCCCCCGCTTGCTCCTCCAGTTCCTTGCTGCACCACACAAGCGGTGACACGAGAGCATGAATGTGGATGGGCGGATGTGCCTGTGAGTGTACAACGCGTGTCAGAACGTGTGATGGAGCAAGTGTAATGGCCTGTGCAGCTGCCACATACGAAGCCTGCCCCACCACTCTCGGCCCTTTTCTGACCATCGTGCAGCGTTCTCAACAACAATGGACTTTCGGGCTCCATTCCAGAGTCGCTCAGCAGCCTGCAGAAGCTTCAGTACATGTGAGTTGCTGCCTTATCATTACACTTGACAGTACTGCATGCCTGTAAGAATGTACTTCCGCCGTGACTGAAAAAACTGTTGGCAGTCGCGGTCCATCCTGCAGAAAAAGCACCGCCCTCTCTTTTGCCATTCGATGCAGCCTTGGCCACCTCCTCCGTATCTACTCACAACACTTCCCTCTATTTACTCCATTGTATATTCTGTTTGTTATGTCAATCATTTTCTTCGTCGTCTTTCCTTTGCTGATCCTTTTCCTCGTGCTACTATCAAACCCCCCCCCCCCCCACGCGCTCATCGCCCACAGGACGGCTTATTCACCCAGTACATGGGTTCCATATCTGGTCATGCCCTCCTTAGATGCTCTTTCCCCTTCGCCTACCTCTTCTTTCCGAGATGGTCCTCCTCACTTCCCCTTTTCGTCCGAACCCTACAACTCTCTTCCCCCCCTCCTGCTAATTAAAAGACTCTTTCCCTGCCACGTACCATATCTTGAAATGACGCACTCACTGTGTCATGCCGTGTCGTGCCATATCACAGCACATTGGTCCGGGACCTAGACTGCACCAGCAATCCCCGTGGCTATCATTGTACTCATTATCTCGTTGAAGTGCATTCCTTATCTTCATATGTTTATTGTTTAGCTGTCAACTCCGTTGCCTGTTCTCCCTCTCATCCTTCCGTTTTTCCTCCCTGTTGTCTCCATCTCGCACCTCACCTCCCTTTCCCCCTACCCGTGACCCTTCCCTACATCTCCCCCCCCCCCCCCCCCTCCCCCCCTCCCGCCCCCCCCCCCTCCTCCTCCCAAATCGTCCCCACGCCTCTCGGAGCGTTAGGGCTCTGGACTACAATCAGTTGGACGGCTCCATCCCAGGCGCCTTGGGCAACCTGCACAAGCTCACATACCTGTGAGTCGCCTGGGGGTACCGATGCACAATATCATGTAGCAGTGCATGGCGGCAGCAGGATGGTGATCGAGTGAGATGGAAGCGAGAGTGTTTGTGGCAGAATGTAGCTGTGCTTCTGGTGCTGGTGGTAATCACCACAAGTGCACGTGCTTGTTTCTGCAATGGGCTAATGGAAGGTCTGCTGATGTGGTTTTAAGGAGGGTCGTACCCCACCCTCTTCCCCTTCCTTCCCACTTGCTCCCCCCTCCCTCCCATCTTCCCTTCCTTCCCCTTTCCATGTCATATCTTCTTCTCCCTCCTCTGTCTGCCCCCTTCTGCCTGGTCGCTTCTTTCCGCTGCCATCATGTGATGCAATCTTCTAAATACACTCCTACTGTAATCCATTCACACTGTTCTCTTTTTGGTTCACTCCTATCCATCCCTTCTGTTAATGTCCCCCTTTCAACGCTCTTCTGTCATTATGCTCCTCTCAATGTGTTCCTCTCAGTGCACTCCTTTTTGTACGCTCCCTTCAATAAATGTATTAAATGGTCTCTCCTTCCGATGCAGTTGTTTCACTGGCCTCTGTCCTTCCCCCCCGCCCACATTCGTCAATCAGGGTGCTGGATCACAACTCCTTCACAGGATCAATCCCGCATGCAATGGGTGACCTCACATGCCTGCAAGCACTGTACGACTACTGGCTGTGCTGAGGCACCCGTTGTACCAGGTGGTGCAGTTAGGCGTGGAATTCACGTTCAACCTTCAAGTGTCAGCCACGTGTCAATCCCAACAGGAACATGTGCAGCACACTATGAAACATCAAAACCTTATCCAGGCCTAAATGGAAATCCTGGTTCAGCTGCATGGTAGTAGTGCTGTCTATGGCTCACAATTGATCAGGCACTGTGAGATTTTCCATGACCTTATTGCCAGAAATTGGACAGGCATAACAATGCAACAACTCTTGCCGCTGTGCCCACATGCATATCATATATCCATGTGATGCAGTGCTGTTGAGATTCAAGCTTCAATACCGCAATGTGTCACTGCATGCCATCCCAAGGCAGGTTCCTGCACTACAATTGGCTGAGTGGCACCATTCTTGCTTCCCTGGTCAACCTCAACAGCCTTACAACCATGTACGCCCTCTTTTCCTGCTTTTGTGTGCCTGCACGTTTTCCAGTATGGGTGAAGGTGAGAAAGGAGTTTCAAGCTCAAGCTGAAAAGTGAAAAGTTTTGTTAAGACAGAAGGCACTGTGCTTTATGGACAGCAGAATTGGGCTCTCGAGTAGGAGGGAAAGGATGTGATGGAAAGTTACCCATGTAGCCAATAGTGAGATACGATACCAGATCCGTCTGCATACAGCTTAGGCTACGTAATGCCCTAATGCCATATTTATACATATCCCCTTAGGGTGCAAGACACTTACTGGTATCTAACAGTAGCAGTGGAGAACGATATTACACTTACTGGGATTGTATCTTGTCCAGCACAGAGCATTACATTCATGAGCCGATTCTAGCAGATAGGGGCCTGAACATCTATAGGCCACTACATGCATATCTTTCCAAGATTGGGTAATGGCCTCACAGCGTGTAGTTCAAGTGCTGTTTCCTTTGCTTGCGATTACAACCCATCTTTAGGGCCTTGTCTGAGAACCTTCTTGTGGGAACAATACCTGCAGTATTCAGCACGCTCACCAGCCTGCAGTACCTGTAAGTATGGCCACACTACACATACAAATCCAAACCCTCCTGTAACCACGGATGCTGCTACAGAAACCCATCCCATCCCATGAAATCATGCTCCACGCTGATCCATTCTTTCCGAACCATGCAGCCTGTGCTCCCTCTTGCTGAATCAGCTCTTCTTCCGCATCTAAGCCCATTCACACCTACACTTCCCTTGCCTTTCCCCCTACTCCTGGATTCTACTCACCCACTGGCACTCATACAGTGCCTGCTTGCCCTGATTTCGCCTCCTCACATTCGTTGCTTGCCCTCATTGTGTCGTGTCACATCAATTGCAATTGTCAACCCGTCACAGCATGCTGGGATACAACCAGCTCGTGGGGAGTCTTCCGTCGCTGAAGCTCATGCGCGCACTCAAGGCCGTGTCTGCCAAGTACAACTTCCTCACGGGTGCAGCAGAAGGCCTTCCTGCGTGCCCCACATATCAGCTGTTTCTGGACTTCAATTGCTTTGCAGTCGATCTGAACTTTTGTGGCAGCGACCAGACTCAGAAGAGCTCTGGCTGGTGCAAGTGGTTCTGCGGCAACGATCCCTTCAGTCCGCCTTGCAGCGGCCATGGCGTGTGCTATTACGTTGCTCCAAGCACCGATATCGCGTGTGCTTGTGACGCGGGGTACATTGATGGAAGCACTGCCTTGACGTGTGTTGCACAAGGTATGGCAGGAAAACTATTATTTCGTGGATTGAATCCCTTCTACCGTCCCTCATTCAATCTGTGTGCTCCAATTGTTGCTATTTCTGCACTGGCCTTTTGTGTTCATGCCCCGATCATTGACCGATGGTCATTACAGATCTCCACCTATATACCCATCCACGTATCAATGCAACCATACACACAAAAGCGTCCCTCATGCCGTGTTACACCCCAACCCATCTTGCCCATGTGTTTACCAGCCACTCTGGTGTGCACATGCAACTCCAAGTTACCAGGTTCACCTCATTCCTGCCTTACCTGCGCATTGTTGTGTCACCAGGGCCGTACATCCCCGCGCGCCTCTCCTCCTTCTCCGACGCAGTGGATGTGTTCCGCTCCGCTTACTCTGCCCCCAATGGCTCCGTCTTCCTCTCCCCGCCATCGCCTACAGCATCATGGGGAGCAGCCTTCATACAGCAGCCTATCACTCTCTTCCTATCTACCAGCCGAAAGACACCCTGCGACCAGCCCATAGCCTTTTCAGTCGATTTTGCATTTCGAATGACCCCGGCTTGTGCTGGCTCATCCACAGCAGGCGAGGGCCTGGCGTTTGTGGTCACCGCGGCGGCGCCGCAGGGGGCTGCAACGGGGGTGGGGCTGGGAGGGGTGGGGAAGCGGAGTGTGGCGGTGGAGTTTGACTCGGTGCTGAGTGTGAAGCACAGCGACCCCAACGACAACCATGTGGGCGTCAATGTGGGCGGCTCACCTGTGTCCCTCGCCTCTGCCACGGCCCCTCTCATCCTTAACGACGCCCACACCAAGCATGCCTGGATCCACTACGACCCCACCAGCGGCGACACCCTCCGAGTCTTCCTCTCAGCCTCCAGGCAGCAGCCGTCCAAGGCTGTGGTGACGGCCAGAGTGTCTCTGTGCAGCGCGCTCAAGCCCACCATAGGGGATTCCTCCTTCCTCTTCGGCTTTGTGGCTGCCTCGTTGAAAAGCGCTCAGGGGCATGACGTCCTGTGGTGGAAGGTTGCCACCGGTGAGAGGAGGCGTGACACCTTTTTTGCTGCCTGCACGATGCTGGCTGCACATGAAATAGTCTAGTTGGATGTGGCCTCGTTCTCCACATTTGACATGAAGGAATACCGACCATGACCATTCACGTTGTGTGTTCTTGCGTGTGAACGTGTGCATGCGCCACCTCAAATGGGCGGATTGTGTGTGTATATGTGCCTTCACGTTGATATGTGCAGACGTACCAGCGGCAGTGGAGTGGTCAACTCAGACCCCTGGTAAGGGCATTGTCGTGACTGTGTTGTGGTGCACCATCATCTCAAATCACACTGTGGTTTTCAAACAGGAAATTCCTTCTAACTCAAAATCCCCGGGCTTCTAAGGTGCGAAGGTTGATTGAGGAGAGAGTGGTGGTTGGTCTATGAGCCGGAACGGGAGTATGAAGAGGGGTTTAGGGTAGACCAACCCAAGGTAGGAAGGGCGAACCACTTGCGGGGGGGGTTTCTATCTTCAGTGTTTTCTAGTTTCCTGATTACTTCGCACTTTCATGTCTTCTGAACTGCACCCTGTGGTTTGCCAGGCAGTGCGTTCGGGATGGTAGCATCAGCAGAGGAGGTGGCAGCAGGCGGTGAGGGTGAGAGTGTGCCCGTGTCGTTCCACTATTCCAGCCTCTCCTTCCTCCCCACTACGGACAGTCTGCCCATGTGGAAGCTTCCTGCATTTGTCACGTGGATGCGGGACATGGCAACATGGCCTGTGAAGAACCAGCATGGATGCGGTATGGCATGGGTAGGGTGCATGGCATGCACGGGGTGCGACATTGTTGGGCTGTAGCATGATTTGGGTGGGGCATGGGGGGTGTAGCATGGGGGTTGTGGCATGGGGGGTGTGGCATGGGGGGTGTGGCATGGGGGGTGTGGCATGGGGGGTGTGGCATGGGGGGTGTGGCATGGGGGGTGTGGCATGGGGGTTGGGGCATGGGGGGTGTGGCATGGGGGGTGTGGCATGGGGGGTGTGGCATGGGGGGTGGGGCATGGGGGGTGGGGCATGGGGGATGGGGCATGGGGGGTGGGCCATGGGGGGTGGGCCATGGGGGGTGGGCCATGGGGGGTGGGCCATGGGGGGTGGGCCATGGGGGGTGGGCCATTGGGGGTGGGCCATGGGGGGTGGGCCATGGGGGGTGGGCCATGGGGGGTGGGCCATTGGGGGTGGGCCATGGGGGGTGGGCCATGGGGGGTGGGCCATTGGGGGTGGGCCATTGGGGGTGGGCCATTGGGGGTGCGGGGTATGAGAGGGTGTGGTGAAGCAAGACCTGGAGCACCTGTGCGTGGCAAGCTAGCACATGCCATGTGTGGCATATGGACTCGTGTTTTCAGAATCTCTGTTTTCTTGGCACTCACAAATAAGCAAGCGTCTAGCTGCCAGCAAGCTGCACCACCATCACCAGCTTTCCTGTTACCCATTTATGTGCAGCCTATTTAAACCCCTCCCCCCCCCCCCCGCCCCTTCCCCACGGGGCTGCAGCCGACTCCTCGGCGTACGCGGTGGTGGCGGCAGTGGAGGCGGCCTACAGCATCGCGAGCAACGGGTCGCAGCCCCCCCGGCTGTCGGTGGAGCAGCTGCGGGTGGCCGTGTCGGCCAACTGCGACGACATGCCTCCGCGCGATGTGCTGGCCTTCCTGGTGGCTGCCACGCGCAAGGGAGGGGGGCTCGTGGATGACGCAGCAGCAGCGGCCGCCAGTCCCAACAGCATGGCGTCCGCCGGCCGCCGGGAGAGACTGGCCGCGGTGAGTTGCAGCGAGTGGTGGGTGCTGGTGGTGATGAATGATTGGTGATGAATGATTGGTGATGAATGATTGGTGATGAATGATCAGGAAGGAGAGCAAACGAGTTCTACAGTAAGATGGGCAGAGTGCTAGGGAGCTTCACGGCCTTTCTGATGTCTCACGTGCTGCGTACACTGCTCCCACTTTTTCTTTCTTCACAGCCCTGCGAAACCTACCTCCCACTGCTTGCACCTTACCCCCTTACGGTTTGGTGTGTCAGAAGCCCAAGCACCACGGAATTCAGGGATTTGAGGAGACCTCCTTTGGAGGTTGGTTGGGATTGCTGCTGGCAGTGCAGCGGCAGCCAGTGGTTGTGCGAATAGAGGCGTCTGCACCATCATTCCTTGACTACGATGGGGTGAGATGCCATTGGGTCTGTGCTTGGGTTAATCCCCATAGCTTAAACATTGGATAAGATGCATGTCATAGGGTAAGCATCAGCTTGCAGCTGTATGGAGGTCAAACATCTTGTGGGCTAACTTTAGGCCGGATTTACTCTGAGCCACACCCTAGAATTCAAGACAAGGTTTTGTCCTAGACAAAAGCAGTCAAGTCCACGTGTGTGTTGGACATGAGGTAGAGAGCCCCGAACATAGTGCTGGTTGAAGAGGGACAGGACATGGCCTGGGTGGCACATGCCATTGTGCTCACTTGCACTCATGCACACCAGCAATGGATAGAGAGTAAACAGATGCACAGATGCCATTAGTGAAAGCACAGGCAGGTGAGGAGGATGATCAGCACTGAGTTGACACCCGAGGCCGCGCTAAGTGCCTCATGGGTGTGCCTGTGGAGCAGTGTGGGTGTCGATGCTGATGCATGGCAAGGTTGACACGTACGTGCTCATGCACTAGGGACGCGCACCAAGTTAATTATGTGTGCTTGCTTCGACACAAGGTTATGATACAATATGACATGTTTCCTGTTGTAGTGTGTTTCCCTACTCAGTTGGCCTACATTCTCTTATCATCCCTTTCCCATGTAACAAACGACAATCAGTGTGCGGGGGACATGTGATAAGGAATGATGGACGGGCCAAGCTCGAAATTGCCCATCACGAACCGTCTGTGGTTCATGTTGGACCGCAGTTGGGCCGACTAGTATGGTCGACCCGAGGGGCGACTTGGTTCTTGAAAAGTTGGACCTGGGCCGGTTCAGCTTGGACCCGAGTCGGCCACCGGGCCGACCTGACTCAGAATAGGCCGGATCTGGTCTGATTAGTGCATCATCGTATTTGCGACAGCAACTGAGCCCGTAGTCTATGACACCGCATTATCCGTTGTAGGTTTGAGGGGTATTATGTCCTTGCTGTACCATGGACATATTTTTTCCTTCTCATTGTCAGCACACAAAGCAGCTCCGCCCTCTTTCCATTCTTTCTAAGTCAGCAGCAAAGCTGGTTTATACAACGTTTTCTTTTGATATAAATTCTTATTATTCATCCATTCATATTACATGCTGTGACCTTACCAGAAATCCAAATACGGAGACGGCAGTTGCTTACAGAAAGGAGTAAACCATGCTGTCTTGGTGGTGGGCTATGGCGTGGAGGGGAGCAGCGGTAGCCCCTTTAAGATGCAGGCGCCACTTTGGGTGATCCGCAACTCATGGGGCAGCGAGTGGGGCGCTGCAGGACACATGTTCATGGACATGCAGAGCGGGCCGGGCATCTGTGGCATCAACACACTGCCAGGCATCGTCCCCATCCTCCGATGTACGCACTTGTCTGCATAGGCACCCATTCAGCAGTTGCCATGGAATGCATGATGCTTTGGAAAAGAGAACCCCTGGGAGATGTCATTGTAGATTGTGGAGGAAACGCCATCCTTATCGGAACTTCTTTTCCAATAACTTCTGCTGGGCACTACAGGCTCTTGCACTGGACGTTGTGTGCATGCTCATGTTCTGGCTAAGCAGCTTCTCTCATCTGCATGTGCTGTGTGGTGTGTGCACGGCAGCTACTGCCGACCCATGTGGCAGCAAGTCAGTGATGCTGGCGGGCTCACCGGGAGGGGCAGGGAGCAACGCGTTCAACCCGTGTGGGCAGTTCAAGTGCTCCAAGGCCGGAGCATCCAACCGTTGTGCCTGCGCTGCTCCCCACTTCGTCCAGGCCTCCCACCCTGACGGCTCCAACACCTGCGCATATGGTGAGCCCACCCCACCCTCACACTACCTCACACCAATCTGACTGCTCTGTCCCATTTATAACTCGCTTTAACACCTCCTTCCTCGCTCTGCCCTGCCTGCTGCTGCCAGTGGACGCCTGTGGGCTGGCAGGCAGCAACCCGTGCGTGGTGGGCACATGTGTCAATGATGGCAAAGGCAGCTTCTCCTGTGTGTGTCCCCCAGGGTTCGTTCAAGGCACCACTGCCAAGGGAACCCACTCTTGTGCCCCAGGTACCATCCATCCTCTGTTGCACGTACCTTTGTCCCTCCTGCCCTACATCTCGTTCCAGCTAGATAAAACCAAGTATCAACATCTCTAACTCCATGCAGTTTCACATAATTATAAAAGCACAGCTCCACCACACGCAAGAGCAGATGTTGCAACACACAAGTATCTTGTAAGATATCTTACGAACAGGTTGGGTGCTAGCTACACAAGTAGAAAAGTTATGAGCGTTGTGCTTGATTCATGCTTCCAATAAGATTATCCACACCCATGAATTTATACATCAAAGTTGGTATCTACAAAAAAAAAAAAAAAAAAAAACCCCTTTTGAGTTGGATAATGAATCCACATATTGCATGCTGTGCATGCTGTGCCGAAACATGCAGGTGACAGCAAGGGCAGGTACACGGTGCGTGGCAGCAATGTGTGGTGCTCGCATGTGCTGCCTGTGTTCGGCCTCACTCTGGACCAACTCAAGCAGCACAACAAGGTTGGTCACATTAAGTGCTCAACGCATGTGGTCCCACTCTAAAACCGACACAGTTTCTGACATCCATCCCTGGAGTGCCTTTCTCCCCCTTGTGTGTGTGTGTGCAGAAGCTCTCCTGCTCCAAGCCCATCCCACTGGGGTTCAAGCTCACCGTCACACCACCTCAGCTTCTTCCCACCTGCTCACTCATCTACACCACCCACCTTGTGAGTGCACCAAGCCAGCACATCTTGCCTCTCACTCTGCTGCCACTTCCATGGGTTGGTCTGCAATTGTATCTTCAGAAATTGTGGCACTCAGTGCATTCGTGTTGAGACAGAAACATGTGGCTGTGTGACTGGACAAAACACGGATGTGCTTGCAGGGTGACAGCTGTCCATCCATTGCTGAGCTGTTCCATTTGAGTGAAAAGTGCCCTGTGGAGGGCGAGGCATGCAGAGAGGCGCTGGTGGGGCTCAACCCCGGGCTGGACTGTTCAGCACTCACGGGCAGGCAGGCTGTGTGTGTGGAGCGGGATGAGAGCAAGGCGGGGATGGTGGCAGTGTGTGACGAGCACTATGTGATGGCGACCAGTGGCGGCTGCGACGCAGCAAGAATGGCTGTGGATCCTACTTTAAGTCCACTGGAGTTCTATCGCCTAAACCCAGGCATCAACTGCAACAACCGCCTGCCGACTGCTACGTTTGAGGGCTCCTCACAGCGCATGGTGAGACATTGTTTTTCCCGTGTTGAACGCCATTTTCCGATTGCGGAGTCTGTGAATCGCTCGTCCTTCAAAACACCCAAATTTTGCATCCCATACTGCAGGTGTGCATCCGCAGCAGCATCAGGTTCAAAATGGGCACATGCCCAGGTGGCACGTACAACATTTCAGCTGGAGACAGCTGCAAGAAAATTGATGTGCTGAGGTTTGCTAAAATTAAAGGCTGCTACAAAAAGATGAATGGATTTGAGTGCTTAGAGCCGATGCCTTCTGGAACAATTGTCTGCACTCCCAATATTAACAGTGCCCGTGTGGGGATATGTTCACTCAGGCTATAGACAAATGTGAAATATTTCATGAATACATCGTTTTGCATACCGTAATTCTCCACGTATAGCACCAGTCAAAATCGAACACTTACAGGGTGTTCAATCAGAGTGGAAAATATACCTGGGGACCTAAAGGGTGGTGTTGCTATTAGCAAGGGGGAATCGCAATAGTCCTTGGGTCGTATCTTTTTGGGTTGCGAAGCAACCTATTTCAGTCGTTATGTATATTTGTTTTTCATTTTCTATTAAAAAAAGAAGAAAATCTAGTGAACGGTAGTTAAATGATTCGGCAATTTGGCACGTGCCGTACCACATTCCTTCTCATTTCCTAGTTTGCCTTGGTTGAACCTATACTGTATGGATGAAATATGAACATAATTTGTCAAAATGATGTACGTGAGCGTGTTTGTTTTTTAAGAATATGCCGGATTATGTTATGCATAGATGAAGTATAATGGTGGATATGGTGAACGAAATATTAAATGCAAAATGCATAAATATAAAGCTTATGGTAATATGATGAATATAGTATTTTTTTGTATAAGTCATGTGAAATTAAAGGAATGCTTAGCATGATGAAAATTCGTATCAGTTAATTGCCCAGGCCCTATGCTACCCCATCCCCTGTCTAGCAAGGGGGGGAGCTCAATACCATAGTTTCTGAATCATCCAACTGTTATATGAAACAACCAGGGCTGACGTTTCGTTTTAGCCTTCCTGATTCCAGGGAAAATTTCCCCCCTCTATTATGATTGCACATTTTTCACAAGGTAGCCACTCTGATAGCTCAGTGTCAAACAAAGTCCTACTCTGATCCGTCACGGTTCACAGCTCAAAATAAGGGTTGCTATTAACATTGCACTACACTTCAAAATGAGTGATACAACAGCTTGAACTTTCCTACACTATCTAGTGCACGGGTTTGTCGATGTGGTACACCTCCTCCACGTCCTCATCGTCCGACAAGAAAGGGTTGTCCTCCTCTTCCTCCTCCCCCACGATCTCCTGATCCTCGCCCAGGTCCTGTTCCACTTCATCGTCCTCCTCCTCCTCCCCCTCATCCTCGTTCTCCCCGGCAATTCCAGCAGCCACATCTTTATCCTCTCCCTCCTTTCCTCTCCTTCCCCTTCCTCTCCCTTTCTGCCACGGCCAGCTTCAGGCTCTTCAGAGAGCGCCTCCTCCGCATGGACCTCCACACCTCAAGTGCCTCCGGCCAGTCGATCTCATACTTCAGGAGCGATATCTGCATCAGCCCCCCCAGACACGCATTGCAGAGCGCTCCTTGCATCCAAAACTTGATGATTTTCTGACTGGAGAACCCCCTCTAGCACTCCACGGTGGAGAGGGGAAGCACAGCCAGCGCCCGCCACAATAGGATGAGGTTGGGCCATCTCCTGCCAGGCACATTCGAAACACAACAGAACAGGAAAAAAATATCAACAAGTTAAAAATCATGTACCCAAGCAGTGGGCTTCCTCTTTGAGTCTGCGCTCCCTAGAAAGTTTGACAGGCCCTGGGCAAAGCTCTCCATCTCATGGTGTGTCTCCATGATCGCGCAAAATGTCGAGAGCTCCCTCTCTGCTGCTTTGAGGTCGAATCCCGGCAGCTTGTGGCGGAAGAGCCTGCTGCATATGTGCAGCCACTCCTTGCACTTCATCTCTCGTTGGGCCTTGATCTTCGGCCACTTCCCCGCCCGGAACAGCTTCGTCCGGCCCAGCTTCCTAAGGTCATCTAGTCGGTCGTTGAGGTTGTCCACGCGGTTGCGGGCGAATTGGCGGCACAGCTTCACGCAGTCTTTGTAGGTGCTTCCGTGCTTGTGGTCCTTCAGCTTCCTCTCATGCACGGTGTAGAGATGGTTGATTGGGCGTCCCTCTCTGTCCACGCCTCAAACCCGGACCTGCTTGCCTCCACCCTCCTTCCCCCCAAACGGTTTGGTTGTCGTCAAGTAGCGCTCCGTCAGGTCACCCGTGGTGGACTCAATAGTCTTCGCAATCTTAGTCACATCAGGCTGTGACAGCAGCAATCGACAACAAGGAGTAGGATTAGCGGCAGTGTAGGACTACACTTCTCATCTCAACGACATACTAGCATTCAACCTCACCTCACGTCCCTAGAAGCAGCGTTTGAGGTCGTTCATGTCGGCCAGAATGTCGGCCAGGAAAAACAAACAGAGCTGGAACTTGTAGCACGTCACAATCTCGTAGGCCTTGTAGTTGTGCTCCCAGAGCAGCACGATGCAAGCGCCGAGGACCTTGCACAGCCTGTTGGTGTAAGGGCCTAATAAACTCAAGCTATTAAGACTTTATCACACTTAAAACCTCTCCTCGGGGTCACCTCCAAGGGTCCTTGGGTGCCTGGTACAAGACCAGCCCCTATCCTCGGGTCCGAGTTTGTAGAGAGAGGGATCAAGAGGGACTTAGTCAAAACAGCAAGAGTACCTTGAACGTCGCGCAGCGTATCGTGCAGACCGTCGATCGGATTAAGCTGAGAATTTTCTATATCGAAGCTCACTCTAAGAGCTTTAAAATAAGCCAAGTTGCCTCGCGAAAAGTTCTGCCATTACAAAGTTATGGCTCGGACAGCGTTAGCCTAGCGTTGGAGTGCTAGCGTACTAGCGTTGACTCGGGTAGCATTCCGCCGTCGCACCGCGTAGAAAGGAAATTCCAGCAAGGAAGGAATTCGCTTGAGTCAATTTCACTATATCCAGGTACAAACAGAGAAGGAATAAATAGTTCTAGCTAGCAAGGACCTTGGGAATGAACCTGAGAACAACCAGGGATGATCCCAAATAATTCCAAGCAACAGAACCAACCTGGCTGGACAAAATAGCAGGTGATAGGTTGGTGAACAACCTCTGGTTCTGTTTTTCCAACCTGGGAAAACAACAACCAGGTTCAGGTCCTAAAAACAGAACCTGTTTTGTCTTTGCCCAACCAGCCAAATGCTGGTTCCGCTGGTTTCCCCTGGTCCTGTAGCATGCAGATACAGACAAACAACATCCAACCTTCACCTGAATTGTACCCCTATAGTGCCTGCCCTGCTACACTATAGTCAACCAAACAAAACAGTACAATTTCGAGTTGGATAGAACTGAATCTGCGCAATCAAGTAAGTTGAACCGCAAAGCTTCCATCTTGGGTTCCTTTGCGAGCTCGTCCTTTCTGCTTGTACTGTTCATAGCGCGTACAATGTTATGCCGAAGCGCACATTGTGCGAGTACCTGCAAATGCTTCAAACGAAAATTGCGAAAGCAAACAAACACACGAACATACCATTCACACGCAAATGCATTCGCATACGCATACTCGTACAAACAGACGGCAGGATGTCGTGCAATGTGAATTTGCACCCAACACACTCCCCCTCAGCCTGCCGGCTGCATCCCCATCATTCCATACTAGTTCATGCTCATTCCACTCATGCGCACACAACGCCAATGAGGCTCATCCGCAAGCCTCTTGGTGAGGAAGTCTGCTGGCTGCTGGTGAGTCTTGATGTAGATCGGATTCACCGTCCCCCTCTTCACCTCCTTACGCAACCAGTGCCACTTGATACGCATGTGCTTGTTCAGCCCATGAAGCACAGCGTTCCTGGCCACCCCAAGAGCTCCCTTGCTATCACAAAACAGCGGCGTAGCAATCTTTTGCTCCTGGCCAATCTCCTCTAATAGCCTCCTCAGCCAAATCACCTCCTTCACCCCATGGAACATCGCCATGTACTCTGACTCGACGGAAGAGAGTGCTGTCTCCGTCTGCTTCTTGGACCTCCAATTAACAGGTCCTCCCCCTACTACGCAGATGTATCCTCCCACAGATGAAGAATCTTCCTTCTCAGAGGCCCACGTAGCATCGGTAAAGCAAGTGAGAAAGAGCTTGCCTTCTCCAAGCCTCTCCCCCTTCTCTTTCAGCACCTCAACCCCTTTCTGCTTCACCTGTGCAGATGCGGAATACTGAACTCCAATGCTTGGGTGAGAGTTCAGATACTTCACCACACGCTCAGCTGCATCCACCTGCTCCTCTGATGGATTCTGCACCACCCTAGCCAGCTGCCCAACCGAGAATGAGATGTCGGGCCTCGTGTGAACTGCTGCATACAAGAGGCTGCCCACCAAGGACTGAAATTGCTGCTGCTCCTCGGCTTCAACCCCTTCATCTTCTGCAGCTTTCACAAGCTTGAATTCTGCTGGCAGGGGAGTTGCAACCTTGCGCTCATTCTTAATCCCTTGCTTCTCCCCCAGCTCCTTGATGAACTTCTCCTGGTGCAGTTTCAACCACCTGTGATCTGGATCCCTCTCTACGTGCATCCCGAGGTAGTACTTTACCTCCCCAAGGTTCTTGCACTTGAAGTTCTCCATCAGCTGCTGCTGCACCTTCTGGATCTCCTTCATGCTGCTGCTAAAGAGAAGAATGTCGTCCACATAGACCAGAAACAGCACCAGCTTCTCCCCCTCCCCCTTGAGAAAGAGGCTCTCATCACAGCTGCTGGTCTTGAATCCCATCTCCTCTAAAACAGCTGCCAACTTCTGATACCAGCAGCGTGGCGCTTGCTTCAAGCCGTAGATAGACTTTTTCAGCTTGCACACCCTGCCCGTACCATCCTCATACCCAGGTGGCTGCGTCATGAACACCTCCTCCTCTAAAATCCCGTTGAGAAATGCCGTTGATATGTCCATCTGGATAATGAACTTCCCACTAACGGCTGCATCTGCCAACAAGACACGAAGGGTAGGGGGTTTGGCAGTGGGAGCAAAGATCTCATTGAAGTCCCGCTTCTCCTTCTGCATAAACCCCTTAGCCACCAACCTACTCTTGTAGATGGTGACCTGCCCCTTGTCGTCAGTCTTGATCCTTAGCACCCACTTGCATTGTACCGCTTTCTTTCCCTCAGGCAGCACCACTAGTTCCCAAGTCCCATTCTCCAGCAGGCTCTGGTACTCAGCATCCCTGGAAGCTAGCCATTTGTCCCTATCTGGTCCAGCTAATGCCTCCTCCATGCTAGCTGGTTCCTCT